TTTTAGGACCTCATCAACCTCACCGTTCTTATTCTCAGTAACAAGCGCTATAAATGCTCTGGTTAAATCTTTATGTTCTCCGTTGACCAGCCAGACTGCGACTCCCATCTCCGACAACTTCCCTGCTTTCTGTGAAACACAAAATTGATTTCAAGGGTTTTGTAACTTTCTAGTCTCTCTCTAATCTTCTGTATATCGCTACCGTTCCACCTGTCGAGTGGCGCCTTGTCTTTGGGAATCTCTGAAATAATGTAATATACTTTAATGTCCATAAAATGGAGCATTTCCTACAGCATCTAGCAGGAAAAGATCATATAAATATAGATTCCAAGAGCAGAAAAAGAAAAAATTAATCTTTGTGAATGCATCAAATTTACAACCCTGTCCATTTTTGCTGTCTTCCAATCAAACATTTGTAGTATTGCTTATATTTCATTTCATACCAGCAATATCTTGTATTTATTTACATTTTCACGTTGTGTTGACTATGCTCAATTTGTCCTTAATTGATGTGTTTGGATGTCTATAAATGATGACTACAAATAACATTTATTATCATTCTTATGCTTATTCGTATTCGTGTTATTATCATCATCAAAATGACCTCTGACAGTGATTGTGAACTCTGTCTCCAGCTTGTAAAGATTAAAGATCCATTCGGGTTTAGAGGTTTGTGAAAGCCTCCAGGCTGTGCTTGGAGGCAGAGCTGTGATGAAGCTGCATCGCCTTCAAAAAAAAATAAAGGAAAAGGGGAACTGGAGGACATGTTTGAGCAGCTGCAACCACTGATGCAACAATCACATGAATAAATCAGGAGGGTAACTATTTCTACATGTTTTTATATTGGTAGTTGCTTAAAATGCATACAAGTGTTTATAAGATCATAGACTTGCAGAGTGTTATTAGATGATAGAGGGAGAAGCACAAAGCGGATAAAATGACAAAGGTATGTTTTTATTATCTTATTCAACACTATGACAGGAACAACCCTGAATATTTAGGTAAAATATTCAAATTCAAATATAAAACTCAAATCTTCTGTATTTGAAAAGGTGATGCTATTCAGATAGAAGCATTTAAAAATATTTTATAACTTGTTTTGGACTAGTTTGTGCAAACTTTGGACTCCAAATAGTTTAATTACTTTGTAAAAGTACTAAAGGGTAAAGGAGGAAGGTCTGGTAATTTTTGGACGAAGATCAAGGCGGATTTTCAAGTAAGTAGGACAAGCCTGAACCCCCATTGGGAAGAGTGGAAACAAGGGTATTTGGAGGTGAAAGTGGAGGAAGAGTTGAGCAGAAATCTGTGGAATGAGAAACTTTTATACTGAAGGGCAAAGTTGGAGAGGGCAAGGTTTGGCTGTGGTTTCCACTTAATTATTCCCTCAACTGAACGCAATAGAAATAGAAAATAGAAAATCTACAGTGAGTCTAAATCTCTAAATTAATTAACCTTACAGACAAAGTGAGTGCATTAAGTTTAAAACTGATACTTGATGGCCAAGACTATTGAACACAACTTGGTTAGATTTAATCTCTAAACACTAAATAGTCACTATTTATTGATACAGGTGTGAGTTTTCTCACACCTGTATCAATAGTTCCTGCCTTGCCTTTCCAAATCAGCATGTCGGATTGCTGAGGCAAGAACGGCAAACAGCAGAGTGGACATTGACATGCATGAGTTGGCGCAGACACACGTGCTCAAAGAAAACCAGCGTTCGACACACACAAAGCGCACATTTCCAACCCCTCGCACTGACTCGTCTGTCTCTGTCGAAGGAAAATGGAATCCATCAATACAGGATGCATGGGGGCGAAAGATTACTCACATTTCTCCCAATCAGAGCCAAATTGCTCTGGATGGCTCTCGTATTTGGAAGATAGAGCTCTGGCTCCGTCGTTGCATGCAAATAACAAAGTCGGCCTCTCAATTTTCTTTCTCCTTGACTTAAAGAACGTGTTGAAGGACTGTCACTGAAAACGTTAGGAATCTGTAAGGGAAGCAATTCATGCTGCACAAGCAGATCATACTGCATACATTTGCTAATCAAAATAAGACGCAGCTGGAAGGTGGGACTCCTGTCTTGCAGCAAAAAGGTTGTGAGTTCGAATCTCTGCATGAAGTCGGAATGTTCTCAGAAAGGCACATAGAGGAACTGGATGTTGTTTTCAGGCTTTCACCATCAAACATTCAGATTTCTCTTTTTTAGGCTTACTGCAAACATCAAACCTCATAAAGAGAAACTCTAAAATCTGCATGACTGAGTTCTGTGGAGGAAATCTGTCTTATCAACACATTTAGTGACAATTAGCGTCAGCCGCAAATGGATTAAAGCATCGACAGAACCCTGAAACGAATGATGCAGTCTTCTGGCTCCATGCAACAATATTTCATTCTTGTGGTGTGGGAAGTAATTTCAAAGGAACAGAAGGCATTAAAGGCATGTTGGAAGTGAGGTCTTCAAAAAGACAGCAGTCTCTTATTGAAACCACTGAACATTTTGATGTAGTAACAACTCCAGGTCTCCTTCTGCTCAGGATGTTTCTCTATGTTGAGCAGGTCAACCAACAACTGTTCCAAAATTCAATATATTACTATAATTACAACTTTACCAGTTTGGTTTGCAGACCGTAATTTCAGCAACCTTTTGTTTAAAATCCTGTAAACATTAAGACAAGTACAAATGATCTAGAATATGTGATTGATAGGAGCAAAGCAGGAGCATTTATCACGCGCTGCGCTTGTTACACTCTAATAAACATCACGTCTTCTTTCTTTCTTTCTTTTTGAACAGGACATTAAAATAAACATTTGGTTTAATAAAACACAAGAATGAGATCAATGTAACACACTTCCATCTCAGGATGCAAAAACGTGCCACTTTTTCAAAGTGCTAACCTGAAAACTTCAGTTCATTCAACTGTTGGAGTTTTGACAGAAAATTAATAAAAAGTTAACACAACTTGCTACTTTGAGTTTGTCTTTTGCAAACTCACACATTTAGGTTCAAACTCTAAACGTCGCTACATTTTTATCACTTGAAGAGTAGAATTTAGTGGACACAACTAAATGTTTTAGGACTGAGAAACGCGTCGATTCTCTGACGTTGTCACCGTCTCAACATCTGCACTCCTGTTCTCTGGATCCCAGCTGATAATCACATTACACACGTGGCATTTTCCTTAAAAAAAAGCTTTGAATTTAATATTGAAGGACTGCAAACCAAACACTTTGAATAATTACATGCAAATGAAAATGTGCCACCGCTATAAAAGTAGGGTAAGTCCTGCAAAAACAATGTAATGTTCTTTAAGAGCAGCACCAAACACATAAGAGACTGGCAGCTTCTTTCTTCTCCCCTCCGTGTTTTTTCTGGAAACAGCTTGCAGGAGCCCACTCTCTTTACAGTTAATGAAATATCTAATGCACTTTGTTTCTTTTGCTCCGCACCTGCCTCCTCAGAGGCTTGTTCCTCCTCTCACAGCTAAATTACTTGATCTCAATGGAGCGAGACAGACTGCGGTGAGCAACAAATGGGCGGGGAAGGCGAGTACTTCCAGCGAAAAGACGACGAGCTCCTGGAACAAATCTCCTCGCCTTTTTTCTGCTTTGAATACGGCCGATTGGCTGGTTGTTGTTTGCAGCGTTTGGCCCGTAAAGCCTCCCTCAACACGTCCCCAATCCATCAGTTTTCCTCTCTCTACGTCGAGAACAACAAAACCGAGTCCTAAACGACTCTCAGAGGGTATTCCCTGCCTTCTTTTTAACATCCCTGCTCTTTTCAGAGAGATATTTACAGCTATTTAGGGACTGGTGATGTTCAAATTATTTATAAGATGTATTTCTGTGTCTGACTCACATCCAGTTGACCCGCTTTACATTCCAGCTCATGAAGCAATTTCTGTGACCAGTACCATGAAGCAGATAATGCAGCTGCTTCATAGTTATCAAAATTTAAGCCACTTCATAGAAGATAGCAGCCGAGGCCAGAGAGTATTTAAGGTGAGGAATATTTGCCCTGAGAGCGCATGGTCGCATTAAACAAATGTCAGCTAGTGAACCCATCGAATTAAAGCTGAAAGGTCATAACATGAGACTACCACTAAAGGTTAAATATTTAGTGAGTTAGAAATGTAGCAGCAGCAACATCATCACCGACAGAAGCAAACGCTTGCATTAAGAGTGACTGAGTTTTGATTTGTGTGTCTGAAATTCAAACCCAAGCAACATTTTTGCCCTTCCTTATTCCCAGACTAATTATATTATGGTATATTATTATCATAATTAGAATTATGTTTTTTAGGAAGTAAAACTGAGGTTTTACTTACTAATTTAACGCCTTCAAATGGGTCTCTGTCTCTTTAAAAAACTTCTGCTCTCTCCGAAACTCTGCCTTCACAACATGGCTCCTCCATTAACACTATAACAATGTTTTTTTTTACCAGCATTTCACTTTGAAGTGGTTCCTATGATGAGTTCAGTAGATGCTCAGTTTCACCAGGTGTTTGCTAATTGCTGCTGGCTAGTCTGAAGGAGCCGAGTGGGGGAGTCACTGGAGGAGTGCTGCTTTTTGCACAGCTGTCATAGAGATTAAATGATTAATGCAATATAGGTTTGTTTTTGATAGAACATTAAAACATGTCAATTTTACGTAACACTGCCTCTTTAAAAGGTCCTAATCAAAGGTTCTGAAAGACTTTTGGAAGTATGTTAAAAGGAATCCCACGCCTTCGAAAAGAAAAAGTGTCCAGAAACTAGGAGATTGTTGAAGTAAATCTTTGACAAACTTCGTTAATTACACAATCAGAGCCTTTAGAAAGAAATATTCAGCTGCTGATAGAATGAGCAGTTATGATCAATGTCTGCACTGGCTGTCATTAAACTGATGCATTTTTATTAAAGTCATCCATCATCAGCGTAATCAATGCAGATGAAAGATGTTTGGTCTGCTGTGAGAAACCGTCTGCTGTGTTCTCATACATAAATGATGAGCAAACAGGGAGCAAACGAGCGTGTTGATGCGTGTGGGTCGTTCTGAGCGGGAACGTCCGGAGGGGTTTTGACGGATCGCTCACCGAGCACGCCCAGTCGGTAGTTCATGGTCACCACGATCACGTTGCCGTAGGCGGCGAGGACGCTGGCGTCAAACATGTTCCCGGTGCCCTCCATGTACGAGCCGCCGTGGATGAACAGCATGACGGGCTTCTTCCTGCGATCGCGGATATCTGCACACACAAAACACACCGACGGTAAGGATTGGAGCGCCTGAAGAAGTCAATAAAAATGGTTATACTTCCTGTTTGATCAAACATGTTGGGCTGTAATAAATTAACAGCAAATGAATCTTTCCTCCTACTGGATGTCAGTGCTAGAAAAGGATCTTTAACGTACTTGGAGTACCTTTTAATGTCACAACGCCTGCAGAAAAACATTGCTGAAAATTCTTGACTGACAGTAATGAAAGAGAAATGTTGTCAACAAACCCACGGGGAGAACTAAGTACACCCTAAAGATGGGAAAGAATTTAAAATGAAAAGAAGCAACCAGCTGTTGCTAATGAAAATCATCAGCAGGTAAGAAAAGCTCTAGAAAAACAAAAGGTTTAGGACTTTTTCATATCTGAATAAAAATAACATTGCATATTAATATTATTTTGTGTCTACTGTATTAAATCCTGCAGAAAAAAAACTGTGGTTCTTTTACATCTTTAAACTTAGATATATTTATAAATGTAACAAAAGACTCCATCAATCTGAGAAGGACAGAGAATCCAACATTTCACTAAATTACGATTACCACTAAATAAACAGATTTCGATTCAAGCAAAAGTGGAAGGTAGTCATCCAAGAAATTGTGCAAGAGTAAAAAAGAATTTGGTGGAAAGTCAACTCAAAGACTATTGATCAAAATTACCAATCATTTAATATTTAAAAATCACAAAACCAGACAAACCAAAATATAACGTTAAGGGAAGATTTTGGTATTTTAAGACAAAATTGACGATAATTCAAATAAGTAACAAAATCAATAAAACTTTCAATAAAAAACTTATGAAACTGTAACAAAAACTGCAGCTGTGTTTCTGTTTCTGGTGAATGTTGGTTAAAAACATGTCATTCAGTGGGCAGAAAATCCACAAATTTTACTCAAGTAAGAGTAGAAGTACTTCAGAATAAAATTACCCAAGTAAAAGTAAACGGTACAGCATAGTAAAAATACTCCTAAAAGGTTTTTTTTTATCATTTATTTTTTCAAAAAAGTTGCTCAAGTAAAGTTATTCCCCATCTCTGGGTGTCAGACCGTGCTCACGGCTGCTTCTCAGACGCCACAGGATTCAGTGTTTAAAGATAGTGAAAACACAGATAAAAAAAACTAAACAACTATGGCCTTTTGTCAGGGTTTTGGAAGAAGTGTATAGTGTCTGAAAGCACATTAAATCTTAAGGCCTCGGGTGCAAATATATCTAAGACAGAGCCTAAAGCTAAGAGTGACCAAGATGGCTGTCTAATAGTGTTTAAATCTGTCAAAGCTACAGACTAAAGTCTGCAGAGAAAACCTTCTGATTCATAACCGGAGCTGTATGTTTAAAGGTAATGACACTGAAGATGGGAGAAATGTGTTCATGTGTTTCTTCAAAGATGCGCTCTACAGTTCGACTCTTGGTTGAACTGAAACAGATTCTAGCATCAGCTTGTTTGAAATAAATCATCCTTCATTCAAATAACTCAGTTTTTGTTGGAATATTCTCACATAGGCTTATTTAGAGACGAGTAAGACCTCTTCAGTGCACATCAAAAGTCTCTTCTTTTGTTTAAAAAAACAAGGCAGCATGACAAAGATCCACAAAGTTGCTTCTTAATAAACACTCCGGAAAGGTGACGATTTGGGCTTGTTCTGCAGTGAAGTCTTCTGGACAAAGATCCCAAACATAGAGCAGAATTACTGAAAAAGATCAGTGTTTTGTAATGGACCAGTCAAAGTCCAGACCTCAACCTGATTGAGAAGCAACACAGATAAATGGACTAATGAAGGCCATTTCTGATAAAAACCTGCTATTACTTTTGTATTATATACAGCAATGCAAGCATCTGGTGACACATTCTGCCACTAGGATTTTATTGAAAAACAGAAATTTAAAGAAATAAACTTCCAGATAAGATTACAAAAAAAATGTTTTTTTCATTTCTCCATGCCATAAAATCCAAAACCAAACAGGATACAAAACAAAGAAAAAACATTTAGAATCTTCCATAAAAATTCAAACATTATTACTACATTTTTGTAAGAACTCAAGAGAGAAGTTGACACATAGTGTCAAATAAATGCTGCTTATTTCTCACCTAAGAGCTTGAAACTCACATGAATGCAAAGTGCAACTCGCCCTCAGCTGCAGAAACAGACGTGTCAAACTTGCTCTGTTTCCCTGTAGGGAAACTTCAGAGGACATCTTTCTCTTTTTTTTTTTTGACACTATCAGTTTTAAACCAGCACTGCTCGTTAGTGGTTCTAGCTTTGGGGTAAAACATGAAGAGATATCATAAATGTCTCACATATAAATGTCAGTCAAATCCTGGAAGACCAGAATTAAGAGGAATGATTGATTATCTTCATTTAAAGTAAAGCATGTCACTTCGTTAAGAGTTCCCATGATAGAAATGTCATTAATCGATCTTTCCTCATACATTAATTAATCTTTTTGCATAAATCTTCACATCTAAATCCAGACAACTACCTTGGACAAATGGAAATGAGATCAAACTTTTCTGATGATGATACATGTACTGAGTGTGAACAAACCCCATCTGGACATCTTGTTCCTCACCAACGGCTTCCTGAGTCTTCAATACATGAATGTTTATAAACCAGAGCGATTTATTAAGATTTTACCAATTTGTTTAATCAATACATTCTGCCAACGCCGGCCCTTCAGGATCTTCACATGGCCCAAAATAAAAACGAGTTTGATCTAACTTAACGCAGTAAAAAAAAAAAGTCCCTTTTCTCTAACTCATTGTAGACATTGATCTAATCAATACTAATATATATCCCTTGATTACATTTATTATTATCTGGATTTCCCTGATTGAAGAGCAATCATTTTATCAAAGCTGCATACATCTGAAAATTTGAGAGAAAGATTCTTCAAAGTGAAGAAAAACAAGGCAGCATGACAAAGATCCTGCCTTGTTAAGGCAAGAATCTTTTCTTGCCTTAATTTGACCTGAATCTGATCTTTTATGACACTTGGATATGCGATTCGTATTCAATCTTTTCAAATGTGAGCGGCGAGGTCACATTTATCCACCTGACCGTCATTGTTACCCGATAAACGTCGATATTCTGCGTCCTGATACGCACAAGCGGTTAGAAAAACAACAATAAAGAGGAATAAGTTGTTGATGCTGCTGCAGTCGGACAACAACTCTAAAATCATAAGATATGCAACACCATTAGCTACAACTACTACTACTACTACTACTACTACTACTACTACTACTACTACTACTACTACTACTACTACTACTACTACTACTACTACTACTACTACTACTACTACTACTACTACTACTAGTACTACTACTAGTACTAGTACTGGCTGACAAACACTGAGCCTGCTCTCTCTCTGTGTGACGTTATTGCGCCCTCTACTTTGCATGTGGGAAACTTTCAGGTTGTTTACAGTTCACACGGTTGCAGAAACAAATCCGATTTCACAAAACAATCATATTTGGGTCACTTCTGGCTGCAGTGTGAACGTATAATTTGTTTATGCTGGTAAAGTTTAATATTTTCCCAACTGCTACAATGATTTTTGGCTTCTGTCATTAAAACTATGTGCAGGTAGCTTCAGACAGAACCCAGTTAGCGGTGTTTTCAGCCGGAGCCAACTCCTGCGGCTCTGTGTGTTTTTGTGCAGGACTGTCCCCGATGGGCCCTCGTTGGCCTTTGAACCGTTTCTCCCAGCTGACCGCGGGACGCTCCTTCCTGCCAGGAGCCGACGGAAGCATATGGCACACGAGACTCCGAACTGTGGCACGGTGACAACCCTGGATGGCTTTGGTTTGAGCATGTGCTAAGAGTGTGTGTGTTTGTCTGCAGGCCTGGGGGTTATGGGGAGCGGTGGAGCAGATCAACCACATAAATAACCATTACTGCATCTGTTACCGAACGGAAGAGAGATAGAGACGCTCTGAATCCCTTTGAAACCCTCCTGTATGTGCAGAGTAGCTGCTGAAATATGGATTAAATGCTTCAAAGTAATGATAAGCTCGGGTGTTAAAGATCCAAAACTCTTAAATCGCTCCTAAATCTGTAATATTTAACCTCAAATGAGACCAAACTTCTAATCTCTTAAGATTTTTAATTTTTTAAATAAAATCTCACTTCATCCCTTAAATATTGAAACATTTAAACCAGAAATTATTTCAAAGTCAGAAATAATTTATCTCTATGTACATTGTGCTGGATGATATGGCTGAAAAACGTATCATGATGAAAATGTGTCAAATCGATCCATGTTGATAATTATTGATTAGTTATTTTGTTTTGAATATCTGGTGATGTGGCATTTCCTGTTTTAACCACAGCTTCCACTCCACACCGTTTCTGTTTATTTTTAAGCAAAACCTTGAACTGCTGCTGCGCCAGTTACTTAACAAGTTGTTGATGGGTAACCAAACAGCGCGTTCATAAATTCCACCAACTTTGCTTGGAAAAAAGTCTGTTAAAGAAACAGTTGGGACTGAGCAGGAGGTTCACCTTCCAGCAGGATAATAACCTTGAACATAGAGCGATAGAAAGGTTTGGATTATCTCATTAAAGTAACATTAGTTCACATCAGTCTTTGGTATAAATGTATAGTAAACTTTATCTCTAATGTTTACATTTCTATTATTAATATTTAACACCTTAGATGGAGTAGCTTGTCAGTGAATAAGCGATTTCCCTTTGGGGATCAATGAAGTATAAACTATCCTGTTCTAAAGCATTGTCACAAGTTACAATGGTCTAGTTAAAGTTCAGACCTAAATCCAATTGAAGATCTGTTGTAAGACTTTGAAACTGATGTTCAAAGCTGAATCAAATTGGCTGGACCTTCAGATAAATTTAGTACTTAAAGCTGCAGAATGTAAGTTTATAAAATTTATGTTTGTTAAAACTAGCATTATGCTGTGACATGGAAGCTAACGCCAAGGCTAGTTAGCATGGCCACTGGTGACAGTGG